TTCAGCCCGATCTCATGAAAGTTCGTGTCTATGGCACGAATGTCATTTCTCGTGGCATTTATACGCCAAAAGCAGTTTTTGCGTGTATTTGGCACGCGATTTTCGCGTACATATTATACGCACCCTTTTTGCGTATAATACACACGAACTCCCCACCCCCCTCCCCCCTAAACCTAACCCAGGGTTTTTTAATGCGTACCATATACACGAAAAAAACACTTTTGGCGTATAAATGCCACGAGAAATGACACTCGTGGTATAGATACGCATCTTCATGAGACTGTGTTGAACATTTAGTTTTAAAACCTTTCTGCAGGCCATATTATTATTTAATGTACACATGAGTGGGGTCAAAAACATTTTAGTTTGAATTTTATTTTATACCGTGCATTGTGCTAAATAAATATTTGTAATTTGTAATTTTATTATTCTTTGAAAATTTTATATTAATTTATGCAATTGCAATGCCTTGATTTTAGTAAAGTTTGTACACATAGCCATAAATGCAATGATACTAATAATTGGCATAATTTCTTTCAATGTTTCGGTTTTCGGCCTTGGTTTCCTCTTTTTCGGTTTCGGCCAAGAATTTTCATTTCGGTGCATCCCTACTCTAAACGAAGCCCACACAGGCAAAAACATTGGAGAATTGCTGCGCGACGCCTGCTCCGAGAGGACAATTGCAGGCACGAGCCCTGCTCTTGTTAATGACAACGCCCGCAATATGATTGTAGCAGGTAAAGTTCCTGGATTTACCCCCCACATCACTTGCTTTGCACACACCCTCAACCTGATGTCTCAAAAGGCCATGAAAGTTAGCAGTGCAGAGCGATTGTTGGGCAAAGTAAGACGTATTGTCTCTTTTTCCACCGAAGTACAACTGCTACATGCACGTTAAAAAAGAAACAGCAAATGCTCGGCTTGCCGGTACACAAACTTAAACAGGACGTTTGCACTAGGTGGAACAGTTCAGTGGAAATGATTGAGCGTTTCTTAGAACAACAAACTGCAATCATTGCAGCGCTTATGGCAAAGGATTTGCGGAGGGGAACAGAAGTACACACTCTCACAGAAACGGACATCAGTCATGCTGAGGATATTGTTAAAGTGATGGCACCCATTAAGATCGCTACTACTATGATGTACGAAGAAGAACAACCAACCGTGTCTGTGATTGAGCCTCTTCAGGTTAAACTACTGAAACATCTCGAGCCCTGCGAAGACGATACAAACATGACTCGAGAAACGAAATCGGCGATGACAACGGACTTTTCATCCCGGTATACGAACTCCCGCTACATTCTGCTTAAAGGTAAGATGTCTTTCTTTGTCAAAAGCAAAAGTATTGCAAATAATGCACTATTCTTTGAATGATTTATCATTAACACCAAATTGTTGCTTATATTAAACATTTTAATAGGACAACATTGTTCATGGTCAGTGTTGGGAGTAATGCATTATAAAAGTAATACATTACAGTAACATATTACTTTTTGCTGTAACGCAGTAGTGTAAGGCATTACTAATCAATTTTCAGTAATATTTTACTCATTACATGTTCAGTGAGGCTTGTATTACAGTGTATTGTCTGCTTTTACTTCTTAAAGGCAACAGATATGTGAAAGTTTTAAAGCAGTCTTTTAGTGCCAGTTCAGAGCGGTCGCGTCTGTAACATTGTTTTTTCCTCATAAATGCGAACACGGAAACTAAAATAAAATGAATATTTTAAGTTCTATGGAGACTGGAGAGCCAACCCTTTCTCATCCGATTTGCGCAGTGTAATTAACAGAATTACAAAAAAATCGATTTTGCCTCCTATTTTTTTGTCACGCATGAATGTGTGTCTTTTCCCTAATATTAAAAATAAAACATAGACTGATATTTGTCTAATGTCTGGAGTCCTTTAAGGAAGGAGCCTATATATGTTTCAATACATGTATTTTCTGAGAATTTTTATTTCAAGTTTTGACTGCAAATGTCATGTCCATAATGCTGGACTTCCCCAATTTTAAATAATTTATCCTCAACTAGTTTTGTGGTGTAGGTCTACGTATTTTATAATGTTAACTTCAAATAATACTAATCGCCTAATTTAAAGATAAGGCAGCATTGGATCTGGACGGTAAGGAGAATAACGCTGGGAGTTGGAAGAGGTGTGTCGCGATTCTGTAGGTTCGTGGATCTGAGTCGTGTGGCGAATTGCGATTTCGATTTCATATTGCATATCGTTACAGCCCAAAAGTTAAGTTCTACTTAGTTATTTTGGTGAAAGTAACTCAAAAGTAATACATGAGTAATGTAACGCAGTACAATTCTGAGAGAGTAATATTGTAAGGTAATGAATTACTTTTAAATAACAGTAACAAGTAATACCTAATGTATTACAGTTTGGAAGTAACTTGCACAACACTGTTCATGGTTTTCATTTTGACTTGGTAACTACTTATAGTATTATTTTTTTGTTTGTTTTTTTGTTGCTAGCATCTGCAAGAAAGAGAATGTGTCTTCACTAAACTTACAGTGTATGTTTGCAACTTCTCTTATTTTCATGAACCAAATGCTGGCTAATTAACTAGACTGTATTAAGGATTAAATTTATTGATTTTACTGGTGTTAGTATTTATGTTTCATTTTGTTACGGATTCAAGTGGAACAGCAGGAGGAGGCAGTTGAAGAGAAACCACTTGACAGCTGAAGAAGGTATTTTAAATTGATAATAAGAATTCTGTTTAAATTTAGAGGGTAGGCATACTGAGTCCAAGTCATATCATCAATACTTGTTGGTTCAAATCTGTCTTACACTCACCACTAAGTTTTAATCGCACTCTGTGTGGTGTTACAGCCAGTTGCACTTTACTGTATTTGTTGTATTTACACACTTTACTGTATTTACACACGTTACTGTATTTACACACATTGCTGTATTTATACACATTGCTGTATTTACACACGTTGCTGTATGTACACACTTTGCTGTATTTCCTAAATGTTCTGGAAATATACGAAGAGTTCAGATGCAAAAGCCTCTAAATGCCATTTGAAATTTTCTTCTAAAATGACCATTTTTATCAAGCTTGAATATTTCAGTTCAGTAATTTCACTTAAATTACAATTAATAGGTAATCTTCATTGCCATTTAAGTGAAATCACTGAACTTAAATATACAAGCTTGATAAAAATGATCATTCTAGAAGAAAATTTCAAATGGCACTTAGAGGCTTTTGCATCTGAACTCTTCATATACAATGTTTACAATAAAAGCACTCATGTTGCTAGAAGTAATATTATTTTTATTAGTTTAATTTCCTTAATGTATTTTGTGTCAGATGCAGATGTACTAAAATTTTCAGAATCAAATCATTAATAATCTAATCGAAATCGAATCAAATTTCATTGTTAATCGAATCAAATCGAATCGTTCTGATTTGCAAAAATCGTTCTTGAATCAAATCGAAAACCTCTGAATCGTGAATCGAATCGATTCGCTGCCTACCCAAAGATTCACAGCCCTAGTTAGAATGTTTTGAAGCATTGAACATACATTTTGGTCCAATAACAAAAAACTACGACTTTATTCAGCAATGTTTTCTCTTCCGGTTCTTCCGGTCGCAGATGCTGCTAACGTGTATCTTGTGTGTCTGTGTTTCGGGTTCAAATAAACATGCCTGGCAAAAAAAAATGCAACTCTTTGAAATGTCGAAATCTGTAGACATGTTTGCGATGACTGTTTTGTTTACAGCGTTCGTCTCCCTCAGACTGTAAACGAAGCTCAACCAGATACAAGTCAGCAGAGTCTTACGTCACCAGCGTCACTGAACGCGGCTTGACAACAGAACCGGAAGACAATGAGATGCTGAATAAAGTTTTTTTTTTTTTTTTTTTTTTTTTTTTGTTATTTTTGGACCAAAAAGTATTTTCAATGCTTCAAAAATTCTAACTAACCCACTGATGTCACATGGACTACTTTAATGATGTCTTTATTTCCTTTCTGGACAAGGACAGTATACTATACATTCATTTTCAATATACATTCATTTTCAATGGAGGGACAAAAAGCTCTCGGACTAAATCTAAAATATCTTAAACTGTGTTCCAAAGATGAACGGAGGTCTTACGGGCTTGGAACGACATTTTCATTTTTGGGTGAACCAACCCTTTAATACAGTGACACATTTAACTTGTTCAATTCAATTCAAATTTATTTGTATAGCGCTTTTCACAATACATATTGTTTCAAAGCAGCTTTACAAAAAGTGCATTTCAGAAATGTACATAAATCATACAGTTAGTTAATCATGTATTACTTTAGGGCAGGGCCGTGCACAGGGGGGTGGCCCGGTGGCTAGAGCCACTGCCCCTCTGCCCTCATCGACTGAGGTGCCACTCTTCCCACCCCCACCGCTCCGCTCCAAACCGGCGTCAAGTCGTCTCTTCAAAGGCGTTTAGTCATCTCATCGCAGGTGTTGGGGCATCTGAACTCTCTGAGAGGCTGGATACAAACTGGAACTGACGAAGGCTATTTACCTTGGGACTAGTGTGCCGAGATAACAGCAGAAAAGCAGATGGGAAATAATCGATCTGATTCAATAGTAGTATAAAAGGTAAACATTATGTGTGTCACAGAACAGAAGGGCACAGACTGGTGAGTTAGAGCAGAGTTTATTGAAATAGGATAACAATGGTAAGTAGCGTGGTAGTTGAAGTGGGAGATGGATATAAACAGTCTGATGATGGTTCTCTTATCTGAATAGGAGCGGGAGGTCGGAGAGCTGACGGGAGCAATGGAGAGAGGAGCGGAGCTGGAGATAGGAGCGGACTGGAAGCAGACGGGGACCAAGAACTGGAACAGACGGCAGGCTGACGGGCTGGAGAATCAATGCAGGTAAGTAATAGCAGGAACGTGGAATAGCGATAGGGAGTCTGTAGTCCTGGTAAAGACGAGACCAGACAGTGAGTGACTGAATGAGGTGAGTATATATGGAGTGGATGATAATCCGGATAAGTGATGGCAGGTGGTGACGGCAGGTGGTGATGATTAGTAGTCAGGGGAACCGGAACGAGTAGGTGGAGTGAAGGTATCTGGTGCTGACGCCGACGGATCCGTGACAGTACCCCCCCCCCCACGGCCAGCTCCAGCTGGCGGGCGGGACCGACGACGGGGACGACCACGGCCCCTGGGTGCAGGACGATCTGGATGGGCTGAATGGAAGTCCTGGAGTAGGGTGGGATCCAGAATGTCCTCCCGCTGGACCCAGCATCTCTCCTCCACACCAAATCCTTCCCAGTCAACGAGGTATTCCAGAAGGCCGCCCCGTCGCCGGGAATCGAGGATTTCGTGCACTCGGTAGATGTTGTCGTCCTCCGGATCCGTAGGAGGAGGGGGCACGTCCGCAGCACCAGACCCTGGGGAGGAAGAAGTGAGAGGATTAGCATATGGTTTGAGAAGGGAAACGTGGAAGGTAGGTGCAATGCGGTAATGAGCGGGCAGTGATAGTCGATAGGTGACGGGGTTGATCTGCCTCTGTATGGCGAACGGACCTATGTATCTGGGACCCGGGGAGAGGAATCAGTTTGCATGCCTTGGAGAAGCGGTCGACTACCACGAGAATGCAGGTGTGATTGTTGGAACTGGGAAGGTCGGTGACGAAGTCGACCCCCAGATGGGACCAGGGTCGAGTGGGAATGGGTAGGGGGATGAGTTTGCCTTCGGGAAGATGACGGGGAACCTTGGCCATGGCACAGACTGAGCATCCCCTGACGTATCGGGAGACTTCCTTGGCCATACCCGGCCACCAATAACGTTGTTGGACGAGCGAGAGATTTAATTGGCTGCCTGGGTGTCCAGAGCCCGGGGAGGTATGTACTGAGTCCATGAGGGACAGGCGTAGGCGGGTCGGGACATAAACCCGTCCCTCTGGACCTCCTGGCGGAGCAGGTTCGGATCGGGTGGCTTCGGCGATGTGATCGTCCATACTCCACTGAATTGGGCTTACGACGACGGCTGGAGGGAGGATGGTCTCGGGACTGAGAGGAGGAGAACTGGGCTGGAACTGTCGTGATAGAGCGTCTGCTTTTACATTCTTGTGTCCAGGACGGTAGGTGACGGAGAAGTTAAAGCGGGTGAAGAAGAGGGCCCAGCGGGCTTGACGGGGGTTGAGTCTTCTAGCCTCACGGAGATATTCAAGGTTCCGGTGATCGGTGATGACGGTAAAAGGGTGTTGAGCCCCCTCCAGCCAGTGCCTCCATTCTTCTAAGGCCAGTTTGATCGCGAGTAGCTCTCGATTGCCGATATCATAATTCTGCTCCGCCGGGGACAGTTTTTTGGAGTAGAAGGCACATGGATGGAGTTGCAATGGAGTCCCCTGCCGCTGGGAAAGAACCGCTCCTACCCCGGAGGTAGAGGCGTCCACTTCAACGATGAATGGTAGAGCTGGATCGGGAAGGGAGAGGGTAGGAGCGGAACTGAAGGCCCGTTTCAAGCTGTCAAACGCCCGTGTGGCGTCGGTGTTCCAGGACAGAGACTTGGCCCCGCCCTTGAGGAGGTTTGTGAGAGGGAAGCAGGTCTGACTGAAGTTTTGGATGAAGCGTCGGTAGAAGTTAGCAAACCCAAGGAACCGTTGGAGGTCCTTCCGGGTGGTGGGTTGAGGCCAGTTGTTGACGGCATCCACCTTCCTCTGGTCCATGGTTATGCCGCGGGGAGTGATGAGGTATCCCAGGAACTGAATGGTGTCTTGATGGAATTCACACTTCTCTAGTTTCAAAAAGAGTTGATGATCTCGTAAACGTTGCAGTACGGTTTGGACATGGCGGATGTGAGTAGGCAGATCTGGAGAGTATATGAGGACTGGTGACTGGTGAGTTAGAGCAGAGTTTATGGAAATAGGATAACAATGGTAAGTAGCGTGGTAGTTGAAGTGGGAGATGGATATAAACAGTCTGATGATGGTTCTCTTATCTGAATAGGAGCGGGAGGTCGGAGAGCTGACGTTAGCAATGGAGAGAGGAGCGGAGCTGGAGATAGGAGCGGACTGGAAGCAGACGGGTGACCAAGGACTGGAATAGACGGCAGGCTGACGGGCTGGAGAATCAATGCAGGTAAGTAATAGCAGGAACGTGGAATAGCGATAGGGAGTCTGTAGTCGTGGTAAAGACGAGACCAGACAGTGAGTGACTGAATGAGGTGAGTATATATGGAGTGGATGATAGTCCGGATAAGTGATGGCAGGTGGTGACGACAGGTGGTGATGATTAGTAGTCAGGGGAACCGGAACGAGTAGGTGGAGTGAAGGTATCTGGTGCTGACGCCGACGGATCCGTGACAGTGTGAATGCTTGACTAAAGAGATGCGTCTTTAATCTAGTTTTAAACTGGGACAGCGAGTCTGAGCCTCGAACAATATCAAAAAGGCTATTCCAGAGTTTAGGAGCTAAATGTGAGAAGTGGACTTAGTCCTCCTTTAGTGGATTTAGATATGCTAGGAATGACCAGAAGCCTCGAATTTAGTGATCTTAAAGAACACGATGGATTGTGGGGTGATAGAATGTCCATTAAATACACAGGAGCTAAAGCATTCAGGGCTTTATAGATCAGTAGTAACTAGTAATACTCTGTAATTAATATGGAACTTAATAGGTAACCCGTGTAGAGATGATAAATTATTACTATTATTCACCAAGAATGTGTTAAATTGATGAAACGTGATCTGAAAGATTTATATTGTTAGAAAATATTTATATTTGTAATAAATGCTGTTCTTTTAAACTTTTTATTCATCAATGAATCCTGAAAAAAAAAGTATCGCAGGTTAAAAAAAGAAAAGAAAATACTGTATTTTTTATCAAATAAATGCAGGATTGATGAACAGAAGAGACTGCTTTAAAAATAAATAAATAAATAAAACATTAAAAATATGAATACTTCCACTATTTAACTTTTGACCTGATGTAATGTAGATAACGAACAGTTATTTTTTGCAGAATCAGAGCAATGAACGCTTGGCACCAATGATGGAACAAAAATCAATTTGATCCTATGATAATATCATTTCAGTTCTTTCCAGTTTTAATTCAAACTTGATCCCAATCTTAATATAACAATAATGAAAAAAAGTAATTCAATATGTCCCCCGTGCTCCTCATTGGTAACTTAATTAACCCCTGGCAATCTAACGGGAAATACTCAGCTCGAGGGTGCAGATCATTTAACCGTGTTAAATAATTTATTCCCAATGCAAATTGGTGTTGATTACAGAAGATGTGTTACAGGCTACATTGTTGAAAAAAAATTAAATAAAAAGACTGACAAAGATAACACTGTAAGCCCAGAATGAGGTCAAAATCACATATCCTAAAGCCAGTAATACCATCAGCGCCTCCTGGAAGAAGAATACAGATCTCAGGCTTTAGAGAGAAATCGAGGTCAGCATTTGAAACATTTACAGAGCACATGGAGGGAAAGAAATGTGGAGAAAATAGTTCAAAGTGCTGCTTTTAGCTACGGAGGAAGCTGAAGGAATGTTGCCGACCAAATGAGAATAAATGAAAAGAGCACAACAGCTCAAAACGCTGAGGGTTTGGAAGGTTTGTGTGAGTGTGCATGCATATTTTCATGCCACCAAATATCTGTGGAGTACAAGCATTTGGGAACTTTAAAATTCACTAAATAAGAGCTGACAGCGATTTGCAGCATCAAAGTGACTGGGAGTCATTGTAATTCAATCATTTGAGGAAACCTGACCCACAACTGCAATTTTGGCATTTCTGGTATGTGTGAAAACATAAAGACCACTCTGTCTATATAGCAGGGGTGCTGCAAGACCTTTTTTTTTCCTGCTGCACAAGCCACATTGAATTACCACTGTTCCCCAGTAAAAAAAAAATAAATAAATAAATAAAATAAATAAAAATTATTTTTGATGTAGATTAAAAATAATGACCTGAGAATCATTTCCCCTGACAATATCAGCAATCATGTGAATCATCATTTCATGTGAATCACTCTATTGATTTCTAATCAGTCAAACAGGTTTGCAAAATGCTCTGAAGTTAGTTGCGAATCAGTTTAAATCATTTCCAGTGATTTCTCACTAAAATGTTAAAAGGATACTTTACCCATCAAACATTCATTCATTAATCATGTTCCTATGACCCCAGAGTGATTTAAAGTGATAGTACACCCAGGCATGAAAATTCTGTCATTGTTCACTCACCTGATGTCGTTCCAAACCTCAGACGATTGGCTTCAAAACTAATCTTGTACATTCAAATTATGTACTTGGATATTACACAGCAGTTTATTATAACGGGAATTTTCTAGTTTGTCACAATATCAAATTTTTAAAACATTAACTTGCTAAACATCCTAAAAAAAAGCTTCTGTCAGTTAACCCTTATGCTGCATTAGGGGCATTTTTGGTCTTTTGCAGTTTAATTTCTTTGACCATTTTGGCTGTTTTAATGCAAATGGTATGAAATTTGGCAAAATTGTGACTTTTTGGATACATGTAAAAAATGTGATCCCATTTTGCAAAATATGTATAACACACACTGTGTAGATCAAATAGTAACACTCAGCACCATAAATACCAAAAATGGCCCATTGAAACCCATTAAAATGTTGTTTAAATCTGAGGCTGTCAGTAATACATGAAACATGATTTTTGCACAAACATCCTTTCATTTTGAAGCAAAAGCATTATATTTGCATTATATAGTGTATTCCACCAGATGACGTCACTACATATTTATTCCCTATGGGTGGAAATGCACCTTATTTTAGGCAATAGGCAATGTTTAATAGGTGGCCATTTTTGGTCTCTAACACGCTAAGTGGGATTTTTTTCAAAGTGGGACTGTGATAATCCAAATCTAAAGTTTTCTCTTTGCATTTAGTTTATTGAAAATAATAGAATTTTTGTGTTTTTTCCTCTTATACAAATCGATGGTTTCGCAAACAAAACTGGTAATTAAAGGGTTAAAATCCTGAAATTGAATACATTTTTGGTAGTTATGATGAGGACTGATGCTGGTTAAAAGATTTAACTTGGTAAAAGTGGAAAATAATAATAATATATAATATTTTAGGCAATGTTTAATATGTGGCCATTTTTGGTCCTTAATGCACTCAGCGGTGTTAAAAATCTAATGCAGCACAAGGGTTAAAACATCTGATCCGTAAGATACCTTTTTACGGGTGACATTTCATCAACCTCCAGGTTGGAGTGCTGGTAGGTGGTCAAGAGCACAGGTCAATCCGTTGTTTTTTCGTTTTTGTTTTTTTCGACTAAACAAATGCCCCTGTCAAACCCTCTCCTCAGGGACAGGACAAAGATTGTGGAGATGGAGGAGACAGCAATGTAGACAGTCTGGATCTCTCATTACAAACTACCCCATTGAGTACTATTA